TTATAGTTATTCATAAGTATTAGAGTAAATAGTAAATAAATAGAGTTATTAGATAGTAAATTTTAATATGATAAATTATGTGAGTTGTCAATAGTCACATTAAAAAGTTATAATTGATTCGAGGATATATAACTTTGGAGACTTCAATCAACAAAAAAATCCTTCCAAAAACTTCAATGTATAAAAGAATAACAACAAAAATACAAGGACATTTAGTTCATAAAAAAGATCATTATTAAGGGGAATAATTTTTTTTCTGGAATCATATACTCACATTTGGTTTAAGAGCATTTCCTCGGGGGGGGGGGAATGACAAGAGAATTACAACAAAAATACAGGGGCGTTTGGTTAGCAGAAAATATCATTGTCAAGGGAAATAATTTTTTCAAAATCATATACCCACGTTTGGTTTAAGAGAATTCCTTCCGAGGGTAATAAAACATTACCTATAGAAGTATTTTTTAGGTTTTCCGGAAATGTCATTCCCCTTGTTTTCTTATGTATTAGTCAATTTCAATTTATTTTATTTTTTATTGTGGTTCTAAATTTTTTAATACTTACTATAAAATAATATGATGCATATAATAAAAAAGAAAAAGATAATAAATTTCTGTTTTATTTTGAGTATTTATTATGTATGTGCTTGATTCAAGTTTTATTTTTATATATTTTTATTGTATTTATTTTTACGACTAATTTTCATAAAATGTTTTATATTATTTTTTATGTTTTCTATTAATTTTGTCAAATAATTTGATATGAAATTCTGTTGTACAACTCATACATGTATCATGAATAAAATAAAAAAGTGTAGCAATTAACACATACACTGATGTATATATGTACATCTCTCAACATCTTAGTACTTAAAATAAAAACATAATTATATTGGTGTAAGTTTCTGTATTTACAAATAAAAATAATAAAAAATATATTAAGTTATTTGTGTACAAAATTTATTGAATATATATATAACTATATTTTCTATGAACTTCTTGTAAATATTTTGACTCTAATATTAAGAATTTAACTTGTTAATATATATATATATCAAGGATAACTCGATAAAACATACATTTTTTTACCTTATATTCTTTCAACCAAAATATATAATATTATATTACAGTCAAATAAACCAAATAATGTAACACAATGTTTTTACTAATATATTAAGTAATGTAATATCCTGATAATCTTATTTTTAATGACGATCTTTATTCCGTGAACCATAAAAGAGAGATAGCAAAATACAAAAAATATATTAATTAAAAATTAAACGTTGATCACTAAAATTGAGGATGCCGTTATCCGAGAGATTAAAAATAAAAATACACACTATAAAATAATAGGTTAACAGCCAAGTGAGGGCGAGGTTGATTAAACATTCGAAGTTTACAGTGGAGTCCCCCCAAAACCAAGGAAGATTCGATTAGCAATTTAAGCTACATGTGAAGTGTGATCAACAAAGCAATTATAATATTAAAACCAGACAATGCGAAGTCTTTCACAGCTAGCTTGCAAAGACAAAAGCTGTCATCTGGGAGAATAAATCGTGCATGGTTCATACATTTTTAGTTCGTCATCAAGTTTTCCCTTCTCGGCTATTCAACGAGTTTAAGGGTCATTTCATTTTCTTAGTTTTCTTCCTGCTTATTAAATAAAAATAAAAATGAGTACTTTCATCTAAATATGTTCAAATTCATATATATGTCAACAAAGAATGAAATATCCAACAACCATGAATATGTAAAGAAGTTGCATGGGCCATGCAAATGGTTGAGTCCCACACTTTGAGAGAGAATAACAACGCTTTACATTAAATATATCTCATTTCATTTTAATGTTTCTGCTCTAGAAATAACCCTAATTACATTATACATTATTAACCAACTTCCTCTTTCAGAAATTAATTGCTTTTATATACTTTTTTTTCAATACTATTACCAAGTCGTAATATTGAGTTACATGTAAACTATATTTTTAATTGAACTTCTACATTAGGGCCCTTGGGGGATTATGGTTTAAGAATAAACAGTACAGAGAGGTATAAATTAGCAACAATTTTTTATTAAGATTAATGTAAAGATACAAGTACAAGCAATACTACAGGAAAATGAAAAGAAGATGAACTGCACGGCTACAACAATTACAAATATCTTAGTGCTGGATGGAATGGCCGACGCCCGGGCTATGTCCGGGGGTCGTGGGTCTAAATGCGTCTACGTACTGTTCCAAGGACCTGAAAACATGGTGGAAATTTGCGATATTACCTAAATTCTTCATAGTGTGTCTTGCATTAACGGTCTGTCCATCGGGACTCAATAATAAATCTACTTTCTTCAGTTTCAAGCTTCTTCCCTCGGCAAAGAGAAGTGCTTCATGGGAGAAAATAAATACTATTAGTAGAAAAAACAAACATTTACATCTGAAATTGGCCATAGCTAGGGCTGCTGCTCTTATGAACTAGCGCAATGCTGTAGAAAAGAAGCTATGGCTGGATTGAAATCTTTTTTTGATTATGCTATTTATATAGCATGAAAAGGGTAGGGTAATGAAAAAAAGTAAAAATGATCAAGTTGGTATTAGCAAAATAATAAATGCACGTGATAACAAGTTGTTTATACATTATTTGTCCCAACAACTTGCTGTAATTTTAATGTTGGAGCTTAGAATATGGTTTTAAAATTCAAGTACGTACATAGACCATTAGCAGCTAGGTGCTAGATTCTTTTCCAGCCCTAAAATCTCAACTCTCCTACGCCAAGACCACCAACCTTTGAAAGAGTTACAAATGGCTTAAAGGGTCGCACATGGAGATGATTTTGGTCGTTTTTTATTAAAATTCTCTGTTCTCTATCTCAGAGCTTGACAGGCCATGCCATGCCCCGAGGAGTAGGGGAGTCCCTTTGTCATTTTAAAACTAAAAATTAGTGGAAGATACATAAATATTTTTTAAAATAAATACATATATTAATAATACAAAATTTTAATATGAAAAGAATATAGATAAAATTTTGAAATAAATTTTTATCTATCTCGAAGACATCTGCCACTGCCAAAACCCTAAAGGGGTTTAAGGATGGATGATCATATTACTTGCAGACTCTTTTGTTGGAGTTGCCTTTGCAAATAAGCGGCTCCGTACAAGATTCCATGGGAATCTTTCTCTTAAAAGATTTGCGTCTGTTTCTTTCCAAGTACTGTGATAATCAATAAATGTAGTTTGGCCCAGACTGTTGCTGTTATGCATGCGCTGTAAAGTAAGCTAGGGCCGTGGGATTGTAACACACAACTCGGAGGGATGGGCATAGGTCAGTTTGGGTCTAATTTTCGAATCAGAAATTTTTGATCCATTCGATTTGATTCGAAAATTATTTATTCTTTGTCGGATTCGACTCAACTCGAAATAATATATTTACTAAAAAAATTGATTGTATTCAAGAAAAATATGGACTTAATTGAAAAAAATAATATATAGAGGGGTATTATTGTAATTATCCTTAAATATAAGGTAAAATTATAGTTTTTTCAAGTCAGGTCGGGTCCAATATTTTTCACCCTAAATCTAAACTCGACCCAACCTGATCTGAACATAACCTCTAAAAAACCCAACTCCACCTGAAGTCAACTTTTTTTTTTTATAAAAAAGATACAACCCAATCAAATCGAATTAGGTCAAAAACAGTCGGGTTATGATCTCATGCCCATCGCTACACACAACTAACCAAAGAGAATAGCAAAAGCTTGTTAACAAAATAAAAGATAAATTACGCATTTAATACTTAAACTATCAGTTTTAGTTTGTTTTAACACCTAAGCTTTCATATTTTAAATTATACCTAAAGTTTAGTTTTTGTTTAATTTTAGTACTAATCCATTAAAAGTTAATTTTTTTATTTTAGTACTCCCGTTCAAAATTTAACGTTAAATTTTTGAAAAAAATTAAAAGTTTAGGTACTAAAACGGATAAAAACTAATAGTTTAGGTACTAACCGCATTAAACTTTTAACGGCGAGTACTGAAATGAAAATAAACATTAGGTATGATTTTAAAAAAATAATAAAAGTTTAAGTACTAAAACGGATCAAAATTGATAATTTATGTACTAAATGAGTAGTTTACCCAAAATAAAAACAAGAATATTAAAACAATAAACCTCTTACCAACAACACATTTTTTATAGATATATTTTAATTATTAATTTATAGATATGTTTTAATTATCGTTTTATCTTTTCATATTATAATAATTTATCTAATTTCACTTATAAATATGTACCAATTATAAAAATATAATAACATGTTTGTATCGAACACTAATTTTTATAAATTATATTAATTAATTATAATTGCATTTATATGAATCTATTATTGTCATAATTTCAAATACTGCCCACAAAAAAAAAAGGTTCATTTTCATTCGCTTAACTTTGTTTTCTTTATTAGGTATAACTTTGAATACAAAAATTCCGCTCTCTTTATTACCATGGGTGAATATGTAACATAATATAATCTTTTAGGATTGGTCTTGCCCCAAAATTATTTCATTTCTATTAGTTTTTAATATATAATCCCATTTATTATTGTACTCATATTTTTTTAATATGATCTTTATTCATAATGATTAGACACGCCCGATTTTAATTAAATATATTTTAAATTAATATTTTCGGTCAATATAATGAAAATTAAAATCAAACTATTATATGCATTAGAATTATATTATTAAATCCAACACCGTTTCATAAAATATCAATCATACATAAAATTTGAATATAAAATACATTAAAACGAGTAAGGTAGAGTACATGGCATAGTGTCAATCGTCAAACCAGAAATTATTTGGGGGAAATTTATTTTTGTACAGCTGAAATTCGGATCTATGCCTTTAAACCTAACACTGTAGGACTCATGCAGTTCCTACGTGAATATTATTGTAATCCATATGACTGAACAATTTACGAGATTTGGAAAAATGTTTACCCAAAACAATGTGTAAAGCTAGGCATTTGGTTTTGATTTTTTGGTCACAAAAGCATGTCCACCTCCAGGACTGTGCCCTGGGTTGGTGGGTCGGAATCCTTCCTTATCACCATTATTGGAGCTAGCTCTTCCAACAGGTTTTTGTTCAGTTTCTTCATCATCTTCTCCGAATGAATGTCCGGCACCCGGACTGTTCCCCGGTGTCGTGGGTCGAAAAGCATCTTTGTAACCATCAACCGAGACACTGGAACCCGAGCTTTTACTTGGCATAGGAGGTGGCAGGACTTGTTTTCTTCCCGGACGAGGGCCGGCGAAACTCGGTCGACCGCCACCTTCGACGGCTGCAGGTTCATGGCCATTTTCGTGCATGGCAGATTCCTCAGTTTGGCTGCTTTGCTTTGGATCACCTGTTGATTTTATTGGTCTTCCATCAGCCGGGAAAGCTAAATAATGGCAGCAGGCAATCATTGCCAGAATAAAAACACCTCTCAGCTCCATAACTGGGAAACTAAAAGCTTGGGATTCAATTGAGAGAGATTTGAGAAAGCAAAAGATAAAACTATGAACAATGAAGAGATCGATGCGTTATGCTATTTCATGCTGGGGACTTATAATGTCAGGAGTAATGGCCCTGTGAGGATCCCAACCGCTAATTATTCGTAAAACACAATGATTATTTTTTATATATCCCACTTATTCTCTGATCTGTCACGTACGTCTTTTGTAGAACTCTCTCCATTGTTTATGTTAGTTGCAGGCTTTCAACTTTCAAAGAAAATGGGTGGAATGATTGCTTGGCTACCGAGTGCTAATGGTTAGCATCATATTTGAAAATGTTGGATACAAATAGGGACGAACATTGTATTTTATATTATAAAATTTTAATAGAACGAAATAGATTATCAATAGAAAATATAAAAGAAATATTAATTTATATAAGTATAATCATTTGTCAGTTCCCTTAATCAATCGCTGAATAGATGATTTATTCTAGGTTATCCTTATAAACCCTCTTAAAAATTGTTATTTAAGAGATGTAGGTCATTGTAAATTACATCTAAGCACCGACGGATCATAATTTCAGGAAGATTAGCCAATTATTATTCTACATCTTTCTTTAGCAATAGCCTATGAACCCTTAACATAAACCGGCCTAAACAGTAGATAATGCAAGGTAGTACGAGCACTATAAGAATGAAAATCAAATGCTTTTGATTAAGAAAAGTAGGGTTATTTTTTAATTAGCTTCCACTAATGGAAAAAGAAAAAGAAAAGCAAACATAATGGATGGTTCACAGGGACAGCCGGAATTTGACCAAATATCACTGTCATAAAGATTTTGATATGAATGTTGCTTCTTTCTTTTTCCAGGTTCTGTAAATGCTAAATTTGAACCAGAGGTTTGACTTTCTCTCTGGTGTGGGAGCTATTTCTTTAATTCATAAAACTCAAGGTCAAGACATGTCGGTCACACAGAACATTAAAAAAAATCAAAAGTTGTCACATCAATCAATTGAGATCGGGTCAAATATTCGTTAGTACTTGAAGACAAATCTTAGGGCGACAGTTTTTCATTATCATTCCCACTAAAACTTTGTAGTGGCGGAGCCTGCAATTTTGGTCACTGAAATTTGAAGAAAAAAGTAACACAATTAAACCGATGATCTTCAAGCCATCTCTAGTCAATTTATAACACTAATGCTTCAAGTTGAAATCGTATCTGCTGGCTGGTATTTCAGTCACTGTTCTTCCATTTGTAGAAAAAAAAAATTACATTCTTCCTCATTAATATTGGGTTTAGTGAGGGAAAAATATCCCATTATACATTGTATTTTTTTTTAATTTTATACACATTTAGACATGGAATCAATGAAAATAGATAGTTGAGGTTACCAGAAAAAATGAAAAAATATTTACTAAAAAAATTAGCACTCGTTTATTTTCACTAACCCAATAGTCCTAAATTTGTGTTAGTAGATTGTGTGCGCGCGTTACACAGATTTAGAATAATTAGATGAGTAAATATGGATGGTTGAGATTGATTTCTTATTTTTTTTTCCAGTGAATATATTTACATTTACTACTGTTAATATAAACTATCTATTTTCACTTATCCTAAAACTAAAAAAGTTTTAATATTGTGGAACATGGTCTTATCCCCTCTCTTTTTATATATATAAAAGTCACATGTGGATCTTGACAAAATAATTTGGGTGAGATTTATTTAAGACTTTGAAAATATCAAAAGTCTAAACTATTTTTTTTAAATTTAACTTAATGATAATTTTTTAAAAAATAAAAGGGATTTGATTAAAAATGTTTAAAGAAATTAAAAATTAATGAATATTTTAAAAATTTTAAAGTGGTTAATTTTTTTTTAGAAAAATAAGGAGTCAGATGCTAATGTTTCGAAATTTTAGGGAAGTCAAGGTTTCCTCTAGCCAATTGTAATTCTTCTATGTATGATGTATAATCCGTAAACATAGTATATAACCTTTTAAGTTTCACGTGTTTTTTTAATCCTTAAATGAGTGAAATTGAATGATTAAGATTAACACTAACAATTGAGGGGGAAAATAATTTGTCTTTAATTCAAAAAATACATTGCTTTAATAGATTTACACAATAATATACATTGCTTAATAGACTTTAACCACATAAAATATATAAACAGATTTCACTCTTAAATTTCTATAAAACTAAAGAGTTTTACATAATATAATTGGTTTTATCATTCTTCTGCTATTCCCTCTCAACCTATTCTCTCTCAAACAATAAATTCCCTCTATAAAACTAAAGAGTCTTTCATAATCCCCTTCTCTCGTTCTCTCTTTCTCCCCCTCTTTCTCTTGCCATCTCTCTCTTTCCATCTCTCTCTCCCTCTCTCCCCTCCCTCTCTTCTCTCTCAATCTCTCTCTTTCTCCCTTTCTCTCTCACCTTATCTCTCTCTCGCTCTCTCATTCTCTCTCTCCCTCTCCCTCTCCCTCTCTCTCCCATCTCTCTTTCTCCCTAAACTCCCCCTCTTCCTCTCACCCCTCTCACTATAATAAATTTTCCAATTTGTCGCATCTAAAATATTGTAACTGTAAGTTTTTTTTGACATAAAAATTGATGTCACGATGAACGTCACTCTAGGTGTGTCACTAAATATCAAATATGATGACGTATAAATTTTCGTACATATAATGACATTAATGAATAATTCACATTATAATTTGATTAAATGACAATTAATTATGTCACAGAATGATATACATTTTCGTCATTGGTAAATCATATTGTCACCAATAACACAATAATTTCTCTATATACTTGACGAAAGAAAAAAGTTATTACAATATTAGTGACGTAGTACATCGTCACCTATTAGTAGTATGAATGACATTTATCCATAACGTCACTTAATAATTGATACTCAATGACAACTAGTTATGTCACTAAATTATATAATATTTCGTTATTGATAATTCAAATAGTAAAATAATACATTAAAAGCAATCTATATGTGATGAAAGAGATATCGTCACATTTTTAGTGACGTAATACAATGCTACCTAATAGTATTATAAATGACACTTATGCATAACGCCACTTTATAACTTATATTTCATGACAATTAGTTATGCCACTAAATTATATAATATTTTTAATTAATAATTTATACAGTCGTGAATAATACATTAGAATCAACCTATATGTGACGAAAGAGATATTGTCACATTTTGAGCGACATAATGTGATGTTACCTAATAATATTTTAAATGATGATTAGCATATGTCACCTTATACAATTTTCTACAATATAGTGAAAAAAATAAAGATCACCACTATAATATGACAATATATATTAAAATAAAATTACTTATATTAATCTAAAAAATAACATGGTTCACTTATAGTAAAATAATAAAATTTATATGAATGTTTAACTAGAAAACATAATAATTCTCTTTTTATAATTATAAAAACACTTAAATGTTAATAGGAAATAAAAATAATATGACCGTAATATGACTTGTGGAATAACTTGTTGCGAGAATCTCAATCCAAATTGTGTCGGTTGTGATTCTGTTGATGTTGAGTTTGTGGTATCATTTGAAGCTACAGAAATAATTAACACATTAATTGTCATTATTAAAATTATGTAATTATTTTATTTGATTAACTATATTTTTGAACTGAGGGCACTTGAATTCCTACAGCTAAGAAAACAGATCTCATAGCCTCCATTTGAGTTTAAATTTGCGTTTAAAGCATTTCAAAATTCAATTTATAGTTATTAAGTTCATCCTCTTTATTCTTCAAACACTTTTCTAAGTTGATTATATCTGCACTTGAACTTTTTTTTGTTAGGTTTCGGCACATATCCAAGTCTCATAATATATCATGACCTCGTACCAAGCACCTCATCCACTATATCATCAATAGTCTTAAGCTTTGCTCTATCTTCAACTGGAATTGATTGTAATTCTACAATTTTCTCCTAAAAATAAAAAAAGTTTCCCATAATAAAAATATTCCTTATATTAAAAATTATAATTGAATATGTTTTAGAAATTCTTACATAAGTTGTTTGTGCCTCAAATATTGTCCATCCTTTTTCATTTGAATAATGAGTTACTTTAAAGAAATCCATCCTATTGGGTTCTTTATCATCCCTTCACTACATGATATGAAAAATAATAATTAATTTTGAATATAAAAAATGGACTTTTTTATAAATCTCAAAAGTGTATAACTTACTATAGTGTATAGACTAGCAACAAAAGCGTGAGATCTTGATTAAGAGTTAACTTGATATTTCTTCTAACTCTTGCATTTGTTTCACACCTCCTCTTCAATTATAAACATATATAAATGTAAATTATAATTTATTATAAAAATAAAAAAGTAAAATTTTATCAATCACATAAATCAAAATGCAATAATCATACATGATATTTAGGATCACTAAACAAATCACATAGTTGCTCCTAATTTTCTTGTGCCAAGTTATATTGTGTCGACTTTTTGACGTGCAACAAAATCATTTGGAAATATTTTGAAGTGCAAATGAACCTTATGTTGATAGTTTCTTCACAACTTTGACATAATTGATATGTCAGAACTCTTCACATAATCATCATCTAATTTAATCTCAAACTTTGACTAAAACATAAAAAAATATATATATTAGATAAAATAAGTATATCAATATTAAAAATTAAGAAATATTAAAGTAATTAAACTCACTTTAAATCTCTCTAGGGCATGAAATTTATCATTATCCTTTATATCTTTCCATTTTGTTGGTATTGAGGTGAATTGTAGAGAAATGATTCAATTTCAGAAGATAATTTGGTTGATTGAATTGGATCAATAGGTTGACCCTTTCCTTTTGGTATATCTACTATCAACTTATTGTTACCTTTAATGAGATTTTCTAGCCCCTTACCTCGACTTGGTCATCGTACTCTTTTTTGTGATATATTGATTGGTTCCATAGAATAAAATATTAA